GTTCCTATACTGTACACGTGTCATTTCATCCTGCAGGAGAAACTAACTTTGTGCACAGGGACGCTGGTCTCTTTTTATATTTGAGGTGGCTATTTTTGCAGGTGGATAAAGAAATGACAATCAAACATACTTGTCTATTGCCCCAAAAACCAGTCAAATTACAATTGTTGTTGATAGCACTGCTTCAATGTTTAACGTATAGACAAGAATAATACTTAAAGGAGAACTATGGGGTCAGGGCTTTTCCCCATAGTTCTCCTAAGGGTTATGGGAGGACACAAACCAGTGTCCTCCCGTCACCCTAAGCTCAGTATACCGCGAGATACACATTACGGTATACTGAGACGCCGAAGCCGGGACGGATCCCGACATTACTGTCGAGATCCACCCAGCTGCGGGATTGACAGCTGGCTCTGCCTATCTATGTTTGAGAAGTGAGCGAGCGACGCTATGTGTTTGCTCACTTCCCGATCTACTGAGCCGACCTGTGACAGTTTCATTGTCGCAGGTTGGCTAGAACAAATCACTTCATGATCTGTGCTTTCTTCCAAGAAGAGGATCTGGTTTGCAGGTTCCTGGCTTTGTCTTGTCATACAACATCCACCAGGACAGAAAGTGATGGGAAATCCAAAGTATTTCAGTTGTCACCGGAACATTAAAGCAGACCGTCCATGAAAATGGAAGGGTCTCTTTAATCCTGCCCCGCAAAAAAAACTTAAATATACTATTAAAAAATAAAGTTTGTTAAAAATAAATACTTACCTTGGCATGGCTTCCAAAGCCTCTATGATGAGTGGGTGACACCACCATGTCTCCCAGGAGAGCTAGGCACTCGAAGTTACAAGAAAATGGGCTGGTGTGGATTCTCGTAAGCTTTATTTTTTTGTAGCACAAACTTTATAGAAGAACTCCGGGAAAACTTTTTTTAACCCTTGCAGAAGGGCTACCCAACACTACAAGGATAAAGTGCTTGTTTGTGTCTAGGTGTAAAAATCAAAAAGTTTTATTCATCCGAACGGTGGAGCTGGCCAGTTGTGACAGTTCTTCCTCCAGACTGTCTCCCCCTCCACTGCTGCGATGTGTACACTGGGTATAGAACTTGATGATTCAGGAACCTCAGACCACTGGAGCAGAGCGGCAAAGAGGCTCCAGGGACCATTCTAACAACAAGCCAGCTTCGAGATTCATGTGAGTATATAACTTTGTTATTTTTGCACCTAGACAAAAATGAGCACTTAACCCTTGAAGTGTGGGGGAAGCCCCACTGCAAGGGTTAAGAAACAGTTTGCCCAGAGTTCTGCTTTAAGCTATTTGAATTCGGGGGGTGTGAGTTAATAGGACCTTTCATTTTAATGAAGGAGAAATATTCCAATGGGGGCACCTGTTCCACTGATAACTATTCTAGATGGAATTTCACCTCTCACTTCCTGTTGTGTCTCTGGGGTAGGGAGGAGAAATCCTACTAATGGGGCACAGTAGAAATGAAAAACTTACATGGTTCTAAACCATTCCCTACTGTGTTCAAGACAGGGAAAAAACAGGGGATTTAGATATACTTTATTATAAATGCAAGCATTAAAGGACAACTTCACTTTAAAGATAAGATGAGAATGAGAACAAAACATAGAAAGATGAAAAAGTAAAATGAATGTGTTTAATGTTAGGGAAGCAGTTTAGAATCCCTGCAGACACACCGCCATAAAGGAAATTCTATTTTCACTGGCAGCTTTCGCTTTCAGAAGGCACAGGCACCTTAATAAAGGCGTGTAACAGACACTTGCATGTTACATGTTATCAGATGTAACATGCAAGTGTCATTTTTGCAGTCATGCTTTGTGTGACAACACACACACTCGGGAAATGGTCTTCCTCTCTACTGTTAATTAACTTTGCCTCCCTTTAATCATGTTAATTGCAGATGACAACATAATCTTGCCGTGCTTCCTCTTAGTGGAATGGAGGGAGTATCAGATTAAACAGGAAAATATTTAGATAGATATGTCTTTCAAGGGCAAGTTAATTGTTCATCCACATTGCATGAATTTGATTATCAATGATTACAAATACATGGAAACATTTGCAGGAAAAAAAATGAATGGTTTTAATTTATGTAAATTGCAAGTTAATTAGGCATTCCTCTGAAAATTGGATGCAGGATGGTTTAAAATTCAGTGCAGCTTTAACACCTTCTACAGTCACTCTCAGCACAGCGCAGGGAAGCAGGGGGTATAGAAAATATAATGGTTTTAGGTCCGCTTTATGTTTATTTGAGTTTTAAACTGGTTTCTATACAATATTTAAGTTGTTTATTTTGCAAATAAATATCTGATACAGCATGCAGAGCTGTGCATCCTGTTACCATCCTGTCTTGAATTGTATTGTAATTGTAATGTCTTCCTTACATTGTAAAGCGCTGCACAAACTGTTGGCGCTATATAAATACTATGTAATAATAATAAGAATACAAGGGGGGAAGAGTTACTGTTTTAACTAATTCGCTTGTGTGTGTAAACTTCAGCTTCAGCTATTGAGCTCTATAAAACAGGTGTTTTCAGTAAACCAGATAACGATAGCTTGGCGCACGTGTGAAAAGAAACACTTGTGTCCTTTTCATTGGATGTTGTGTGCAAAAAGCTTCAGGGTGGTTTTTCCAGTCCTACCACCATTTATATTACTATACAATGAAAGGTTTAAAGCGGAAGTAAAGTCTTGTATTGAGAAAGTGCTGACATGCAGGCTTTGTATGACTGTGTAAGGATCTTCTGTCATAGATCTTTCTTCCTGCCTGTTAGCACTTTTTTGGTGTTTGCACACTGAGCCGCACAATTGCCGAAATGAAGTAACTCCTGTGTGTATGCACATGGGAGCGCCGGCGAGGAAGGAGAGTGAGGACATTGCAGCACTTCAGGGAATTGCTTTGTTCAGGTAAGACTGCCATAATGTGATAATATGCTGGGTATGTTAGCACATTGTGGCTAAAAGCTCCTGAGGGGCCCATCTATTTTTTTTTTTTAATTGACTTCCGCTTTAAGCAAACTTTAAGCAAACTTTAATTATTTAATCAGGTATAACGTATACAGTGTAGCAATGCAGTACCATGCGCTGTACCACACCATTTTCTTTATCAAACGTATAACATCTCACTGCTGCAGTACTCCTTTATCATAATGTTCCCAAATGCCTAACTCTAAAAGCAATGTTCTTTAAAATTATAAATAGTCATTCCACATAAACAGTGATAAAAAAATTAAATGTACAGTGCAATTAGCAATTCAAACTCCATCAATCCACTGTGGTCCCAGTGTGTCAAACCACACATATATTCTTAATGATTTTCCCCCCAAAAAAGCCATTAAAGCGCTCTTTGATATCATATAATTATTCATCATGTTTCTCCACTTCAAATCCAAATTGCACTCACCCTGTCTTATGCCCCTCTGTTACAGAAATAACCCTGTGTTATGCCCCTCTGTTACAGAAAGGTATATGCATGTGTTATCCCTTATCGATAACTATAGCTACAGTCTAGTCACTTTTCTCAGTATATGCGAGTGAACAGTTGCCATCATGTTCCTGAAAATGAAATTGGACAGAATCCACATGTGGGAATAGGTGGAATTTAGGGTGAAGCCTCTACGGGTAGTTTTAAATTTAGGGTAGGGCATTGTAAACATAGTGCAGGGAAAACCAGATAATGTATTATTTATCGAACAGATTAAGAGCAAGTTATGCTCGAAACTGTCCCTGCATTGCTACATCGTATACTTTATCTGCAAATAAACCTTTGAAGCAACCTATAATTTGGATAATATATATCTATAGATATATCTATGGATATATCTATAGATATATATTTATATTTTTCCTGATTGGTACAGCTGATTTTATAGAGTAAGTGTAGTTCTGACTAAAATAGTATGCCTGAAATTCTCAATTTTTCACTGCAAAACAGTAAACATATCCCTTCACTTTATTTCTCTAGAAATACTGTCTAGCATTGCCCTGCTAATATTGACATAGCTTTAAAACAAATCTGTTGACGTAGCTTTAAAGCAAACTTTTGCTTTGCCCTTGCTCGTGTGTACCTTAAATCCAAATGTGCTGTGCCCAAGCAACAGGTTTGGTTTAATGCCTCCCTCCACAGCAGCACATACTTACCCTCACCACCCCCCATTCCATTCAGCTGTCAGGAATAAGCAAATATGGTGTACCTTGTGACTCACTAACTGACAGCATTGGTGATTGGTCTAGTACTGTCACATGGGGTGGGGAAAGTCATCAGCTCTGTGAAAGCTGCAACTGGAGTGACTCATTTTTTTCAGATGAATGTCTCTCTTCCCTCCCAGTGCGTGAACAAATTCCCGTGTGTGTGTGTGTGATGGGATATTTAAAGAATGTTATGGTAGTATATGCCACTGTGGAACTTAGAGTTAGGGTTTATTCACATGGGTCATTATCTTCTGCACTCATGGTACTCTGTGGCAGAGAAACTTCGGCCCCATCCACATGTTGGGTAATCGGCAATGACCAGGAGCCGCACTATCACTCATACGAGCAGTTACATGCAATTAGGAACCCTGACTGACCCTGGAAGCAGACAGTTTGCTTCCTGGGCCACTTGTTCTGCTCACATACAAACTGGCCACAGCTAATAATTCAGTGTGTATGGGATCATAGCATTGAATGCTACTGCGTCTAGCCTTCAAAGTAAACCTATGGCTTTTCTGTGCAAGTTAAATTCTGAGTATAAGCCTGCGTTAAAGAAGCATACTTTTGAAAAAAAGTCTGTAAGGAGATGGCAGGCACAACTCGGAAGTATGCTCATAACTTTAACAGAACGATATAATAAATCAGTTTTTAGCAGGTGCATTCCCCTGTGTTCAGCAGGTCAAACCAAGCCATTTCTGGAGGTTCCTTTGCTATAACTTGTACCAGTGAGACTGATTTCACTACTGCTGCTCTGTAAGCCTTCTCAATATTTCTTACCTGCTTTTCAACAGGCTGGAATCACCGACACGGACCTTGATCATGGAGGCACCAAAAGGAATTGAGATAAATGCAGAAGCCGGCGGTCTAGAAGCATCTTGTAGAACAGATTTACGGCTAGACTCTACAGACGGAGAGGTAGGCTGCTGATAAAAAATGGACTAGCTAGGAATATGGACCTATCATTAATTTAGATGCGTTCCTCTTATCTCCAAAACATTGCTGAAACTGATTTGCAGATCTGGTAAGTCAGTTACGTCATTTTTTAAAGGGCCAATAAACCTGAAAAAAAATTAAAAAAGCTTTAAGTAATATTAAATAGATTTCAAAAACTTAGAGCTGCAGACACTTGGGAGAAGATCTCCTACAAGTCTATGAGGACCCACTACGCAGATGTGGCCAGCGGCAAGGAAGATTTGGGCTTCAGGCTGTAAACATTGCAGAGAGTTGTGAAGTCGGAGAGACAAAAGTGCATTTGTCTGCATTTCTGTTATTAAAGTGCCGATTTAATGAGATGGTGAGGCAGAAATCCAGGGTGTGCTGTCTATATTCCTTCTAGCTATCCTGTACCTGGTATATGCTGATATTGGGTTCTTCTGATTGCAAACAGACACTCATTCTCAAAAGGGGAACAAATCATTCACAGCCTGCACACTACAGCCACACAGTGGCTAAGTCAATGAGAGGTTTGCTAGCTGGTGATGTGAGTGAGACTATAGCAGTTATCTTTCAGGACAACATCTGTTCATATGTGGCCAAGCTGATGGTGAAAAGCGACCCGAGTATGTTCTAGCGGTAACAGAGTTTTGTGACATTTCATTTGTATGCAGACTGTACTTACTGTATACACGGCATTTGTTAAAGCATTTTGTACTACTTTCAAATAAACTTTTTCTTTCTTTCTAGATCCAGTTAAAAGCAGCTAACGTGAAGCTTCCACATCTACCACGGGGCTCTTACTCTGCGTCAGCGCCACGGCAGAATGTGTATGAGATCTGTGTGTGCGCCAGTGGAAAACTGTTCTTGTCTCAAGCGGGCAGCGAATCCACTTGTCAGACAAATAACAACATCTGTCTGTAAGAGACTGACAAGCCAAGCTCCAAAGTGCTGGAGCATGACTGTATTCAGACACAGGAAGCCTCAGAAACAATATGTGTGTGCGTGTGAATATATACAAATATATATATAGATATATATATCTGTAAATCTATTAATCCCCCATGGAAGAGATTGTTCAGTGCCAGAAGCTCAGGGTGACCTTCAGTTGTCTTCCCGTGTGCCCATTTTCTGTTTTTAAGGACTGCAATGCAGAGAGGACTGCTCATGAAACCATAAGGAACCTTAAACTGTGAGGTCTGATATGACATTGCCCATAGTTATATATTATGTATTGTTTTATTTATAAAAGAGTACATACAGAGTATGGAGTTTAAGGGCTACTGTAGACTAGCACAAGAGTAAAGGTCACTGATTAAAGCTTTAAGTAGCCCTGCATGTAAACCAATTTCATTCTTCGATGGAGATTGAAGGAGGAAGTCTGTAGGTAAAATTATAGTTACCTTTATAGCCTTGATTTGAAGATCCACTTCCATAAAGTTACTCTTGTGATTTAATTCCTGACCTGCACAGGTTGGGACTGATTCACAGACATATGTGCCAGACACAGTGGTATCCTTGAGGAATCATCTTATAGAAATATTCACAGAGGTAAACCTAAATATGAGAGAGTCAGAAGTTAATTTAATTTTACACTCATGCTGCCCTCCTCAACCCTTCAATATTAACGTGCATCTAAAGCCATTTTTGGATAGAGTAGGGAATGGTTGAAACTCATGTTAGTTTTCTTATTTCAGCATCTGTGTCCTGTTATGGAGACCCCCCTTCACCTCCTGTCCCAGAGACACAAAAGGAAGTGAGAAGACATTGTAAAGATACATATCTCCCATCACTTTCTATCCCATTAACAATGGTCACCAGGACAAATGGAGAGGGAGAAACTCCCCACCGAGTGTAAAGGCAGTTTTAAAAACCTAAAAGAGACTAAAATACTTCCTTGCTCTATCCAAAACAAAACAGTTTTAGCTTTATATATAATTTAAGAGTTTTGGATGACAGTTTTGTGACTGATTGTTTTATTATACAGTTTTCTAAGATTAAAAACAGTCACTAAAAGACCTCTTTAAACCTTAATTATTGGAATGTTTTTCAGGGATAACATGTTTGTGTTTCATTAGGCAACATAGCCAGATGTCAGAGAAATATAGCCATTTAAAAATATGCAAAACAATGCATAGAAATATAGCAAATATGTAGACAGGTTGGTAAATCTGCAGGTGCTTCGGAGAATCAGTATCTGCTGACCTACACACATATATGACCATTTACTGTCCTGATGTGCAAATCCAAAACTTCCTATCTTGCTCATAGCAGGAAAGCAAGAACATACATTCATGAGAGCCAGTGGATGCCAATTTGCTATGGCATTACCGATTGACAATCCAAAAAACAATCCTTACGTATCTAGGTTATGTGACACTGGGTTGAGATTTCTTGTCTTTTTTTACCTCTTTTTGCCACCACAGCCACAAGACTGCATATAAAAGGCATATACAGACGTTGCCATTACTGACTTAAATTTGGAAGTTCAAGTTCCAAAGCCATCATCTTTATACTTGCCTTACAATGCATTGGGTCTACCCAGGGCTGGATTAACATAGGGGCTACTGGAGCGCCAGCACCAGGCCCACCACTGAAAATAGGCCCGGATCACCTGATGGCAATCCAGACCACCTGGATTGAACACAATCAGGTAGAGGTACTGGCAGCTCTCTAATCAGGCATATTAGGCGACTGCTCGCTGGGGCCACACAGGGCCACCTAATTAGAAAGCCGCCTTTGCTGCTTCCTGTCTTACTGACCGACAGCACCAGGCCCATAATGCTCTTAATTCAGCCCTGGGTCTACCTCACTAATAGTGAAGCTAGAATGAAGATGACAGCCCTGGACCTTACACCTTGAAGTAGAACTGAAGCTTAAACTTTCTTTTTAGTTTTGGATAGAGTGAGGAAGGGTTATAACCCCTGTCAGCTTTTTTTTGCCATCTGGAGAGATTTTCTTTCAGTTCCTGTATATGGGCCTGGTGGGCCATTATATGGGCCATTATGGGCCTGGTGCTGTCGGTCAGTAAGACAGGAAGCAGCAAAGGCGGCTTTCTAATTAGGTGGCCCTGTGTGGCCCCAGCGAGCAGTCGCCTAATATGCCTGATTAGAGAGCTGCCAGTACCTCTACCTGATTGTGTTCAATCCAGGTGGTCTGGATTGCCATCAGGTGATCCGGGCCTATTTTCAGTGGTGGGCCTGGTGCTGGCGCTCCAGTACCACAAAAGGATGTGAGAGGAAATCCCTGCAAAGTGAGGGAAATCCCTGGTGGTACGCAGGGTCACCAGAACTAGTGTCCCCATTGGAAGATTTCCCATCTATTCTTGTTCAAGAAAATATGGGGTTCTCACCAGAACAAACAGAAGGGTGAATCTGCCTAACACAGCAACAAAGACAGCATTAAGAACCTGACAGGAGTGCTAATTTCTCTTCACCCTATCCAAAACTACAAAAAAAGTTTGGGTTTCATGTGCACTTTAAAATCAAGTCAGCAGTGGCAGTTCCCATGTTTCTAACACTTTCCCTTTAATAATAAAAACAGTCTGCTGAGAGATATCCAACATGCCTAGACCACTGTTGAAAATACCACTCGCACAATATAGCCAATGCACCCTCCAAATTTGTTGCTTCTCTTTGTCTAGAACTGTCTTGACAATGTACAGTAACGGCCTATATTGCTTCCTTTGTGCGTTATTGATTGCCATTGATTTCAGTTGCACACAAGTTTCCTCCTTATCTCTCAAATGTTATAGTGGTTTAAATCTGATAGGCATTTTATTTCTTTCTCAAAGGGTTTGTGTCAGGCCGAATATGTGGTTTCAGCCTGAGATTTTATCTGATAATTAGTGTTAGTATAATGGCAGGTGTTAATAGGGAGCATAGAACAGCCCTGGCCTGTTTCCTTGCTTTTATACAGTGCCCTGATCTGTGCTATAGGAGAACTAAGAGAATCAGTAGGAAGTGTGTAACACGCGAACAGAGACTTCTGCTCCACCCTCACATATTATTGGTTGGTCAGTGTGCCACTTATTTCTATATAGAGCCTATAGTACTTTACAGATCTTTCCTACATGAGTCTCTTATATTGTATCATTGCTGGTAGCTTAGATTGGCAAGCATACTGAGACACATTGTTGGGAAAACACATGGAGCTGGATTTGCACACAGGGCCACATTCATGCTGAAGCAGAAAATGGCCTTCCCCAAACTGTTACCACAAGGTTGGAAGTTAACAGTTGTCTAAAATGTGGGATATCCAACAAGCTCATATATGTTTGATGGTCAATTATCTGCAAACTTTTGATCATATAATATATTGGGCACTTACATATAGGCACTGGATGTGGAATGATTAGTTCAGCCAGGGTTTCACCACAGTCCGGACTTTCTTCCAGAGTGGGTTTCACTGGTAGAAGAATGGATGGATGTACTTCTTGGCTTGGTATTACGGCTGTTACATGCACAGTTTGAACTGGGGTATCACAAAGCCATGGTACCATATGTGACCATAACTACTGATCAGCACATTGCTGTGTATGGTGGCCCTTTGGTGGGTGTTGAAGCCATCCAGGAAGCACCCCTTTTTCGGCAACCATATGTATCTTTTAGGACTGTTTGTTTCTATCCTAGCCATAAAGTAAGTGTAATTCTAAAAGAACAACTATTTTAATCTGTTTAGGGGGTCCCTAGACTTTTAACAGTGGGGTGAAGATTCATTCAAAAACTGTAAAACTGTGGTCATTGCTTCTCATCAGTATGTCACACTTCGACAGATCTGAACCAAGAAAAAACTTTCTGCTACCATGATGCAACCTATGCTGCCAATCAACATAATGTGATGAAATGGGGTGAGCACTGACTTTTTTCAGGGTATCAGACACTGGACTGCAAGAAAAGTAGTAATGTCATCAAATAATCTGAAAACATTTTGCTGACTTTTCTTTTGAATTAAGTTCTTTAAACACTTGATAGCTTTTCTAATGTTTTTTCTGGCATTTTTTGTGTGTATGTAGCTCCCCATCCCTCAACCCTTCTTAATAATCTCTTCAATCAGTTCCATGATATATAAGGTCACCCAGAGCACTGTAGTATGAAGAATACTGGACTGAACCATCTCTTATTAAAAAGGGGGACATGTGCCTATGCCTTAAGACAATGCACTCTGCAAGGAAAAGCACAGAGGGGAAGTTTCAGATTTAACTGTTTGCTGTCTAAGTTTTTTTGTTTTATGTTATTTGGGGTGGGTGTTACATACATTGAATGGGTGCCATGAATGGGGTCTGAGTGATGACTGAGTGGTGTGATTTCTTATGAAAAAATGCTTTTTTTTGTATGTTCAATAACGTTACAGGTTACTGGTTCAAAATGCTGCTACAGTCTTGTTACATGGCTATGGGATACTTAGAAAGTGGTTCACCATCATGTGACCTGCTTGGGGAACATGGCATAAATCACATGACCTGGCCTTCATTTGGACAACTCACTTTGCCTTGTTTGCTTATAACGGAAGTTGTCAGAATTGCATACACATGACAGCCAGGCTTATTTTACTGGGCAAAGGGTAGTGAGTGGAAAACAGCTACCCAAAACAAACCAATCAACCATCATCTTTGTTGTGACTGCTCTGTACAAAAGGTGAATGGTGAAGTCTGATTGGTTGGTATGGGTCACTGCCCACCACAACCCTTTCCACTTAATCATTAAGTACAGTAATACCTTGGTTTACGAGCATAATTCGTTCCGGAAGCATGCTTGTAATCCAAAGCGCTTGTATATCAAAGCGAATTTCCCCATAGGAAATAATGGAAATTCAGATGACTCGTTCCACAACCCAAAAATATTCATATAAAAATAATTACAATACAGTACTGTAATATAATACTGTACAAAATATAAAGAAAAATAAACCAATTACCGGTACATCCAAGAGAGAGGAGGATT